TTGTTTAAGTTCTATATCCATTTGTAACTTACTTATTGACTTTCCTATGTACTATAACGTATAACCGTCAAAGTGTAACTGACCTCGAGCTTGGGCGGCGTTAGCTGACGTGTGGATGTGTACAGATAGACAACTCATCTGGTAAAGGTCTGACTCTGTCTCAAGAGACACATTAACAGGGAAACACATCGGTCGTGCACCATACAACAAGCTACAATGGTAAATATATTTATTTTACTTCGTGAGTTTATACTTTTAACCAGGAGTTACTGAATTCGCAGTAGCAATGAGGCGTAATGGTGTGCTGGATTTATCCCTCGCGTCAATTTAACCACTACTGGTACTAATTTATTATAATGAAATGCCGAACTGGCAAAACACATCCGTTGTTATCGGTTTTCTGTATAGCTCTATATTTATAGTTCCATACTTATTTAAAATTTTAAGCTCAATCTGATATCCGTTTATTATTTTCTTTGCCGATTTGAATTGCAATGCTTTATGTTACTGACTGGTCGCCCCAGGTTACGTTTCCGGCCGTGTAAATGTTCGGTCACACAGAGCGCTACGTACGCGACGCACGCTACGTACGCTATGTTCGCGCTCTGTGTGGCCGAAACTTAAGATTGCTCTTCTCCACAACGCCCAGTACGAATCTGGGGTCCACCCAGCCTCCAATCCAATGGGTACCTGGGGTTATTTCACCGGGTGAAGTAAAGGGACAAGGGAGTGAATTTGACCAATCACTGCCATCTAGTGCAGAGGTCAAGAAAGATGGAGCTATGCCTCCACTCCCCCCATATCCTTCATGGCATAGTGCTTAACTAATGGAGCACAGGGCAACTTTACTTTTTATGCTAGATTTTGAAGTTCTCCATTGTTGATTATGGCGCTAGCTGAGCACATCTTGAGAAGCCAAAAATTGTGCAGCCACTCAAGAATATCCAAAAAATTTACGGAACCCGAAGGTTCATTTCTGTGATCGCAAGATCACTCCACTGCTACTTATCCTGAGCCAGATCAATCCGGTCCATACCATCCCATCCTATCTAAAATCAATTGTAATATTATCCACTCACCTACGTCTTGGTCTTCGTTGTGGTCTCTTTCCTTCTGGGTTTCCCACCAATATCTTACATGCATTCATCTTCCCCTCCATGCGTTCTGCCTACTCTGTCCATCACATCCTCCTTGACTCGATCATTCTAAGTATATTTGGAGAAGAGTAAAAGTTATGAAGTTTCTCATTATGTAGTTTTCTCCAACCTCCTGTCACTTCACCCCTTTTCTGCCCAAACATTTTCCTAACGCTCTCAGTCTATGTTCATCACTTAATATCAGACACCAAGTTTTACATCCATGCAAAATCGCAGACAAAATTATAGTTTTGTGTATTTTAATTTTTATGTTTTTAGACAGCAGACGAGAAGACAGAAGATTCTAGACTGAATGGTAGCAAGCATTACCCGAGTTCAAAGTCCTCTTAATTTCCTTCTGAATCAAATTTTAATTTGTTACTGCCTTCTCCCCGCTGCCAGTGGCCGCGCGGTATGAGGCATGAAATGTCTTCGCCCGCTTGAACACTGGGATCGTGGGTCCAAATCCCACTGAAAGCATGGATGTCTGTCTGTGTTTATTCCGTGTCTGTGTTACGTAGTGTCCTTCCGACGGGCTGATCCCCCTTTCAAGGAGTCCTACCGACTGTCTACGATTAAGAAATTGAAGTGAAACGAAGCGTTTCACGGATGCCCTATGCTCCAAATGGGAGCAGCAGGAATAGAAGAAGAAGAAGAAGAAGAAGAAGACTGTCTTTCACAAATGTCTGAAGTGTGCCATATTTTCAAATGATCGGTTTCGGTCGTAAGTGATGAAAAAGTTGTCACGTGTAGGGGTGATTTACGAGACGGGTTTTGTATTGAATGATTGGATTTATTAATCGCTATGAACACAAAACTAGGGAATACAGGTAATACAGCGATATCGCTATTGTACACACTTTGCAGTTTACCGTTACACACACACACACACACACACACACACACACACACTAGGATTCTCAGTCTTCACTAGTCGTATCCTGGCAACGGATTTATAACAGTCTCACTGCCACTTCAAAGCACACACGAAGTATCCCAATAGGTTGGCGTCACGAATCTCGAACTCTCCTTGACTACTACTACTACTCTCTACAGCCGAACACTTTCTTACAACCACTTTGTACGGAACCCACAGGAAACACAGCCTCTATTGTTAAGGAGACATGTTTACAGTTTCGTTGTTTAGCAATGGACGTCTTATGCTTGCGCGCTTTAGCCCGCAAGGGAATGTGTTTACCGAATCGTTGCCTAGCAATGGGTCCATACTTCACAATATTTTCCACAAATATGGTATAGTAGGTAATAATTTTGCTTTGTAGGATATGCAGCTGATGTAAGTCTGCAAATATTTGGACTGTTATGCCGGATAAGGAATGTCCCACAGCGGTAACTGCTGTGGGGTTGTGTAGAGGTGTTCGCTTTTAAAATAATTAAGGTTCAGTCATTTCTTGGGGATTATTGTTATTTTCTTAATTGTCCGTATGTCTTACATTACTTTCTGTGGCGATGTTCTTGGTACCATCGATTACAACGTGCCCTTGCACACTAGTCATTTGTTTATTGTGCTGGAAGTGAGGTTAGCGCTACCTGTGGTCGTCCAACATCAGTAATGGAGGCGAGTAAAGAAGAACAGCGAAGTGTAGTGCGCTTTTTGACTGCTGAAGGAGTAGGAGGACGAGAAATTCACCGTCGCATGTCTGTTGTTCACGGCGAACACAGCATGTCAC